ACATCCCTGCCTGCCCAGACTGCTCCTCACCTACTTTCCCTCCACCTGTCAGCAGCTCCTTGGTGTTAAGCTGCCCTGGAGCTGATCTCAGCTCGCTCAGGAGGCTGCAAATGCCACATTAAGAGACTGTGGAAATTAAACTTTAAATCCCTGCCCTGATCCAGGGGCACTTGAAACACAGTAAGGTCACGTCTGTCTCTATGATAGTGTGGCATAGAAAGATTTCAAGATCAGCCCAGTAATATCTTTAAATTACACCCAAAGAAGACCAGATGCTTTCCAGGCAGTGGCAGAGAGCCCTGGAGGTGCCTGTTTTAAGCACTTGTCTTGTTCACTTCCAGAGCCAAATAGTCAGCCCCAGGCATCAATTCTCTCCATGATTCCCACTCCACCCACCCTTCACTGACTGTCAGGTGCAACAGAAACCATCAGCTCCCAAAGGCACGGGGCTGACTCATAAATGCTGAGACATTTCTCCAGCACTGAAATGCTCCTGCAGCAAATGTTTGAGTGATGCAGGTCCATCATCCCTCAGAAACAGGCGCCAGACCAGCTACTGAAATAGCAGAGAGACGAGGAGGAGAGGATGTAAATAGGAGACAAGCTATTTTGGCAAGGAAATGAACAGTGGGAAGGGCAGCTCTCTCCATTAGTGGTTTCTTCTCATACTGTCATACTGGTAAGTCAACATCTACAAAAAAACAAGGTGAAGGGTTGAACAGGTTGAAGAGGAAGTTGCTTTCAAACCACAGCTCGTACACACGGAAACACATGGAAATCAGCACCACCAAGCATGAGCTGCTTTCTGAAGGTGATGGGTTTGGATGTAAAAAAAAGAAATGTGTGTGCAGTCCACAGTGAAAAATGCTCTGTTCAGCTTCTCTTGCAACCCTGGCTGTGACTTTGCAGGGTAAATCAGCCTCTGTGTTTGTCCTCTTAACTAGCACAGCTGCACAGCCAGCCACAAGGGAAAGGGAATTTGTGGAAAGAATCTGTCATTATCCACAGGAGCATCCTGAACTGTCTGTAGGAGTGAGAACTGGAAGAATTCTGAAGTTCCAGAACATATTCTGTCCTTGATTCAGCTCTCCACTTCCAGGAGAGCCATTTACAGCCTTTGAATGCATTCCAGGTTATTCCCCAAGTCTTGAATCTCCTCTACAGCGTGTAGGAGTGTTGTTATTATTAGCTGGAACATTTACCCACTCCTCTCCCCCAATCCAAGAAGGAAAATGCTGGAGGAAGAGGAACAGAGAGGAAGGAAAAATATTGCACATCTAATGAAGCCAAGCCATCATGCCCTGTTCTGTGACAGTGCTGGCACTGAAACAGGTAACAGGAATTAAAGTGCACATAAAACACTGCTCAGAGACTGAGTGCAGTGATAGCAGAGTTGTGCAGTGCTGTGTTGCAACGAATTCACCTTCTAAAGTCAGCCAATAAAAGCATCGTTGGGAAAATAGGGAATGTTGAATCCAAGCCTGAAAGCTGAATGTGTTTAATAAAATGTGTATTCACATGAACCACTGATTTAAAGGTGAGGCCCTGCTCTTGAATACACCAGATAGATCAGTATTTACTTCTTTGTCAACACGTGTCATTCCTGACCTGGAAAGACAAGAAACTGGTCCTGGCTTGATACCCCTACCAGAGCTTACCTTGAGGAGAAAACTTCATCCCCTTCCTTCACTTTCCTCAAGGAAACAGGTAGAAAGTGTAGACTGAGGCCTCTGTCCTTTCCTCCCTGGAATTACCAAGTGGTAACTCCTTCCAGCCATAGGGAAACACAGGTGCTGCTCAGACCTGACTCCCAGAGGAAAAGGTTTCCTGAGCAGCCCCCTCAGCCTGGCACCTGAGCTCACCCTACACCTGCTGATTGCAGAGGCTGAAGTGTCCCAGCTGTGCTGCACAGACCTACTGGAGCCAGTTTAGCCAAGCTGGGAGGGAGAGGGTCAAAGGAATCTGCTTGTGGCAGGGCAGTATCATTCCAGCTTGCTCACTCTGTTATAATAAAGGACAGGAAATGTCTCCTTTGGGCTGCAATTCAATTACCTCCAAATAAAGCTGCCCCAACAGGCTTCTGAGCCCAGAAAAGCTCTCCTATTCGATGTTCTCATGTCAACACCCTGCACTTAATAATGAAGAACTACTGATGCCCTTTTCCTGCTAAGCTTTCCTGAGCAGCAGAGCTCCCTTTCTCCTGCTGCCACCAGGCCATAGCATTCCCTCCGTTCCAACATGAACCCAGCAGCTTCTGAGCACACTGATGGAATTATAACCCAAGGTTTGGGAGTCTTCCTGGCATATGGGAAAGACATAAGCAGCTGGTGTCATCCCTGATTAAAGCAGCATCACAAAACACATCCTGGCCTCCCATGGGAAGCACAAAACGGTGAAGAAACTCAAGGCTGAATACGTGATGGGGCCCACGGTGGTGAAACCAAGAAGCTGTGGCTCTGCAAACCCTCTGCCACCTTTGCATAAAGGTCATGAACCATCCTGACAGCTCAGAGGCCTCTGGAACATCTGCAGCAGCTTCTCTGCCCCTGACACCTGGACCCCAAACAGCTGCCAACACCTTAAACCTGGCTGGGGTCGGACGTTCAACGACTCTGAAAGGGGCATCTGCAAATTTTCTGTCATTCAGGGAGGTGCCATAACTGTGCCACTGTCAGAGTGCACAAAAGTCAGGGCCACGCAGAGAGGCCACAAATGTCGACAAGGCTTTTGCACAGGGGATGTGATTCAAAATGCAGATTGCAAATAAATTTAGAAGCCGACACAGCAAGGCTCCCATGGAAACAGCACAAAAACCCAGCTGTGGTTTGGATGACTTGAGTCTTGGCAGTCTTGGCTAATCCCTTAAGTGCCATCCAATTACTGCAAATGTGTTTGGCAGCTGCTGCAGTGATTGCAAAGAATTAAATGGTCGGATGGCACTCACCGGAAATTACAAGTCACAGAACTCTGTAATGCATTTAAGAAAAAACATCTAAAAAGGAAAATATCATTACCCACTGCAAGAGCTGACCTCCTTGAGAGCCTTCAGGGACAACAAAAGGGATCCAAGTAATCAGGGAAACTTAATTCAGAGAAGAAATTATGGGAAAAAAAGAAAAAAAAGGAGAGAAAGATTGCTTGTTAGTTTTGCATCAGACAATATTGGTTAAACCAAAGGAGACAGGAACTTTTTTGTCTTCTGAAGGTCTGAATGAGCAATCTTTGTTTAATCTACTGCTGTCTATAAACACATTAGATCTGTGGGGTTTATGGTCAAGCAAACACGACAGAAATAAAACAACCACACAAATAGGGACAGAGATAGGAACACTACCAAGTGTCCATCTTTGTCCTTCTTTGGAATCAGCAAACACCTGAGAGGGCCTGAGATCATTTTGCTGCTCAGGAAGAACTCCTGGTCCTGGCTAAAGCCAACCACAGGGTCTGGCCAGGCATCTTCTTTCCCCAAACTCTCTACATTGCTGATTAACCTGCAGCTGAAAAACAACCAGTGCCAATCTTTCAGATTAAAAAACATGTCTTCACTAGGGAAAGAGAGGGAATATTGATGTTGAAATCCCTGAGAGGACAGGAGGCCTCTGTGTTGGCTGCATCAATACAGAGTTAATAAAGTACCCTAAAAGCTTTTCTGATCTGCACTAGCAAATAACCTCCCTCTGCTTCTGTCCTACAGTCAAAACCTGATTTCACTAAACTCAGTGGCAGAACAAAAGGTCCAGAATTTAATTCTGGGACTTGATCAGTTCTCTAGACTCAGCAAAACCACGAGGATGTCCCACTTGTTCCTGCCCCAACAGAAGGGCCCAGCTGCCTGTGTGATCCTCACACCTCTTCTTTCAGACTCAGCTCTAGTCCTCTGCTCAAGGTGATTTTTCCAGGGACCAGCAGAACAGTTCTGCTTTTTAAGAACTATGGAAAAAGAAACAAAAGGAATGAAACCTCAGCTGCTTTTCAGCAAAGCCTCACTCAGACTGCAAGAAGCACATGGTCCTGTGCTGCCACCAAGCTGTGTCCCGTGTCCATAGCCTGAGTTCTGGCTGTGACAACACCAGGAGCAGCAAAAGCCTGGAGTGCTCTAAGAGTCATTGCACAAGGAGCAATTTCGGGAGGAAGCAAGAGAGCTGCAGCACCTCTGCTGAGCACTGAGTGCCTCCTGGGAGACAGCTCCGTGAAGAAAACTTCCCTGTTGCTCTGTGGGGGTGGGAAACAGAACCATACGTGCATGGCAAATACGTGTGTATGTTCACACATGTAGAATACCTGTATTCATGTACACAGATGTAAACACAGAACCATAAAGTGGTAAGGGGATGCAAGGGACCTTAAAAGATCACCTACTCCCAACCCCCATGTGCAGGGACACCTCCCACTAGAACCAGGTTGCTCCAGGACTTATCCAACCTGGCTTTGAGCACTGCCAGGGCAGGGACAGTCACAACTTCCCCAGGCTAAACCTGCACCAGGGCCTCATCACCCTCTCAGTAAAGTGACACGTGTATTCTGTACACATGTGTTGAGCACATGTGCACATGTATACACACACATCATATTCTATGCACACGTACAGAATTCTATAACATGTAATATGCACACATATA